ATAATATGACTATATAAAGAGAAATTTTATTATATTAACTAACACTGGTCGAAATCAAAAAATCAGACATGTGAAAAATCAGCCTAAATTCAGCCTAAATTTGGCAAATTATCAAAAATCAGTCTAGCTGATTGGCATACACTAGAAATCGGTTAAGAATCAGCTGAAATTTGACCTATCTTATTTATAGCCGATTAGTATATGTCAAAAATTAGCTAAAATTTGACCCATCTTATTTATAGCTGATTGACGTCTAATTTACATCTGATTGATATACATCAAAAATTAGCTAAAATTTGATCTATCTTATTTATAGCTGATTGATGTCTGATTTACATCCGATTGATATACATCAAAAATCAGCTAAAATTCAACCTATCTTATTTATAGCCAATTAGAATACATCAAAAATTGACTAAAATTTGACCTATCTTATTTATAGCTGATTGACGTCTGATTTACATCTGATTGATATACATCAAAAATAGACTAAAATATTTCAAAATAAAATAAAATTCAGAAAAAAATATAAGGGAGGGCCAGAAATGACATCATTTAATTTTTTGGGATTTTCCTCCCCACCTTGTCATTAAATCCATTTAAGGAAATCACAAATCACATGATTGATATTAATTATAAGCCAATCAGATGTTAGTAGTAAAATAAAAGTTTAAAATATGTAATAGTTTAAGCGATTAATTAAAGTTTAAATAGTATGAAAAAATAAAAAATTTATATTTAAAAAGTAAACTTTATATTTAAGTAGTGTAAAAAAAAATTTATTTTATTGTTTCTTTGATTCCACTAGTATTTTGACTACTAAAATTGTTTCAAACATTACATCTTAAAATTATTAATTTTAAATGTTAGGTGGTTTTGCTTCCATGGTTTTGCTGTTGAACTTTGCTATTGCGAACCTTTTGCCTCACTTTTCTTTGTTGCTTTTTTCTGTTGGAATAATTGCTTCAGTAAATCATTATTTTTTATATCATCATTATATCCTACATCATATCCATCATCTTGTGATAGATTATTATGAATCTCTATTATTTTTGCTATTCTTTCTTTCAGATAAATTATTTTGGTGTGTTGCTTTAAAAAAATTTTTGATGGAAAATATTTAAGGCATTTTTGACAAATGAGATCATGATATAAATCTGGGATGATACTAGAATAATGTTCATTATAACCTGGTAACTTTCCTTTGAAATATTCTAAAGTATGAATCAGACTTAGAAAATGACTATCACAACCTTATACAATAGGTGGTAAAATACCATTATTTGTAGATAAAAAGTTATAAATTTCAGGTGCATGTGATTGTCTACAACAATTTCGATTCTTGCATTTTCTCAAATCAAGGGAATACTTGCAAATTTGAACATGCCAATCAATCCAATCTCATGACTCTTCTTTTACATCTAGAAAATCTGTTTGATCATAGATTTTAACATATGTTATAATAATCAGATGGCCATTAATATTATTACGTCTCCAAAGTTCATAAAAACGCTCATATGCATGCTTAAAATTATGACATGCAAGATCTTCATCTTTAATAGAGACTTTTCCATCGATACTTCTAAGATGTTTATCAAATACAAACGCATCTAATTCAATACCTGCTAATTTACCAGAGAGTGTTGCCATACTTTTTTTAACTGGATTATAAGCTGATTGTCTTGAAGTATGTGTCCGAATAGTTAAATAATTCAAATCGTATTTTTAAAAAGTAACAAGTACTTTAAGATATTAGCTAGAAACTATAGGTTTTCATCTGATCTGCCATCCGTTAGTAAATACCAAAATGGCTTTATAGAATTTTCATAATGTGTAAACTCATGAAAAGACTCTTCTTTTACAATTTTTGTAAGATCTACTACATGAGTTTCACATGTTGTATCCAGAAAAAGCTTAGGGCGAATAAAAATTCACATTTTGCTAAAGCGTAATGAATCATTCGTATTAGAGGGGTTGATAATTAGATAAACAGATGGAATTAGCTTGTGTTTTGGAGCTTTTAGAAAATTGTGATCAGAAACTGATACTGGCTCATTTACTATTTGTAGAGCCTTAAATATTCTTCCAATAGCTGCTATTTCAAGAGGAACCTATAAGCTTAAAAGCATTAAAAATCAAAATTATATTAAAAGAAATTATTGTAAAATAAAACAATATCTTAACTTTATCATTCTGCGAAATCAACAAAACTTTTTGAGGAAAAGCTGCTGCAATCAATTTCATGTCCTTAACTGATGCTAAACAATAATGTTCATCAATATGAATATTCATCTCAGTTCTTCCAACAGCTGCTAGGCAGATTTGAATGGGGTGGTGATATCATTTGGCTTCTCTTGTTTCTGGGTGTTGTGGTTGCATATAATTTTGTAACATTGATTTTGCCATATGAATATTATAGTCTTCTTCCATTTTTTCATGAAGGTGCTTGATTGTTCACACTTTGATAGTTTCTTTATATCTTTTGTGATCTATGGCTTTAAATTCAATACTACTATGCATTTTCTCTAAAAGAGTAGGATCATTTATTAAAAATGATGGTCAACCTGGCACGTCATACATCTCAACAATATTCTCTTTATCTAATCTTTGCTTTTTTCTTGTGATCGTTGTTTTGCTACTGCATTATTCTTTAAATTTTTGAGCTTATTCTCCTCTAAAGATATAGTATTCTCAAGTTTTTTAACTTTTGAAGCAAACTGAGACTGAAGTTCTGATGATGTTGAAGCTTAAAATAATCTATTATACTCATATATTTTAGATTTAGCTTTTTGTAAAATTGAATATGTCCGTTTTTGTGCTGTAGTATTTATTGCAAAGTTAATATCATTTGAGAGGTTTGAAAGAGATGCTGAAGGTGTTGGAGGTGCCAGAAGTGGTGAAGAAGGTGTTAGAGGTAATGAAGAAGGTGTTGGAGGTAATGAAAAAGATTTTGAAGGTGATGCTCGTAAAAAAAAGTGAAAGGGGAAGGCTGTACAGGAGTTTTCAATAGTTCAAAGATAATATTCTGAATTATGTCTTTATCTTTCGTTTTATTTCTCTCCAACTATTTTGTGCTCATTGTTGTAGTTCTTGTTTTTTTGGTGCTTTATTCTGGCTTTTTACCATCTTATTGAATACAAAAGCATTCACATACTGTTCATAAGGATTTTTAGGATTTTGAATAGGGTAATTTTTTAAGTACTTCTATTTCTTAAAATATGTCTGCTGCATCATAAAATAATCATTCAACCATCCAACAACAATAACAACTAATTTCTACATTTAATAAATTTAAAAAAACACCCAAGAACCCTTAAATTAAAATAAATTTACCTTTATATAGAATGTCTTTATAATATTATATCACTTGTATTACTATCGTGAAAATGTACCACCAAGTTAATATTATATTACTGTCGTGACATTTTTCAACCTATAAATTTAAAAGTTACAGAGTACTGCATTAAAATTCGGTAAGTGAAATATTATTTGTCATGTGGATAATTTCTTAATGCCGTAATTCCAGCCAAAACTACTCCACTTTAGACAAGCCTTAAAATGGCAATCAAAATCTGTGTAATGTCATTATGGACTGACTCCCCTTCCCCTAACTAAATGACGTTATTTCTGACCTTTTCCTTAACTGATATTTAGGATTAACAGCCAAATAATGCTAAAACATTCAATTTATTTTTACAAATGGTATTTTCTATTAATTAGATTAACAGCCAAATATTCTTTTGCATTTTACTGGGCTGAAATTTGATAGTTAATCAGTACAAATTGACCTAAAATATGATGAACTAGTATTATACAATTATGACTTTCCAGATAAAATTCATTATCCCATAATTCGACATTACATATTTCTTCTTCGCTAAAATAATTCCACATATTTGGAGAATTTGCAGGTTTATACCAATGAACAAATGCTAGAAAATGTTCAGCCTTTTCAGATGGCAAATTGACCTTATATGTAAAATAATATTGAACTTGGCTAGGATAACAATCGACTGTACTATCATTTATAATAAATTTGGCCAAAATGTACGAATTTTTTACATGTTGCAAAGACATTGATGATTTGAAGATTTCAGAACCAATTTGATATCTTCTGAATTGATTCATTTTGACCTGAATCATTATACCATCTTCTAAATCCTTATATCAAATGTGATATAAGTCGTATTATAGTATTTAACCATCAAATCAAGTATTTCGCTTGAAATAATTATATTATCAGATGATGGTTTAAGGAATTCACCTGGAAATGGTTCACTACCAATAACATTTGATTCCTTAATATTTTGTGAATTCATTCAAAATCGATAGATTTCATCAGAAGAAAATTCATCTGTATCTGAAAGGAAACTAATTGAAGGCTGATTGTTTAGCAATTCAAGCTCTTTTACCTCAATATCACTAGAACTTATAATACTGTCGATTTGAATATCAAACATCAATCGACATATTAACTCAGGTTCAATTTTTCTATTACTATTCGGTAAAGAACCTAAAAATCATTCATAAATTAGTAAGCCAATTTATTTAAAAAATTCTCAAAAAAAAAAATACCTAATATTCCATTTATGCGTTCAAAAGAAAAACACCAAAATGCATATAACAGACCATAGTCACTTGAGCAATCATACAAATGAAGAGAAAGGTGAAGATTTAGCACAATTTTGTTACGCCCGTGATTATTTTCAATCAATTTTACCATCTCAATTAGTCTTCAATGTGCTTCATATAATAGATCTGATTCTAGAATCTGGCTTACTAAAGTTGTACAAATCCTTATAAAATATATAAGAATCTTTCTATCTACAATCAGAAGATATTCACTGGTTAAATAATGAGGTATCAGAGTATGGCATATTATGAATTATCAGAAATCTGATATGATATTGAAAGATGACTTTTAAAAAATAATACACATATCAATACCCGATAATTCATTGGTTTCTTTTAAAGTGTGTTAATAAAAATTATTTAACCTATCAATCATCCTAATAATTCATTGATTATTTATTGATTATAATATAATATTATAAATAGCCGATTAATAAAGTATTAATAAAATATAAGATAATCTGATATCTGCATGAATGCATTTATATGAAAATGTTTATTAAGTTTCAAATTTTATATATGAATTTTTCTATTTATAAGAATTACAGATAAATTTTTTTGGATTCTTTTTACCGATCATTATTGTTTCAGCAACAAAACAGCTCAAAATATTGTGTATAGGAATGATACAATCTCTTCCTATTTCATAAAATTCAGATTTCCATAATTCGATATTGCTAGATTTATTATCATTATTTATACTACAGTGAAACCTTATCCTAGAATGGTCGGCATGCGAATACCACCTTACAAAAGCTAAACTATGTGTTATGAAACCTTTCGGTAGATGAATAGTATGCTCAAAAAAAAATTGTATTTGACCAGGATAGGTATCAGTCGTATTATCATCTAAAACAAATTTAGATAATATATTTGCTGATCTGATATGTCTTTTTTACATATGTTGATCCATATACTTCCGCTTCAAGTCTTAATCTACCAAATTGATTAATTTGTGGGAAAACTGCTATTGTTCCTGGTAATGAATTATAGATATCTGATAAGGACACAAAAGAATTATTACAGGCATTATTGTAATATTCTACCAATAATGCTAATATTTCTGATGACAATTTCACACTCTTCATTGGTTTAAGAAGTGCACCTGAAAAAGGCTCCAACCCTGTTCCTACTTTCTCCTTTACATTTTTTGACATTGTTAAAAATTCTGAATATTTCATCAAATCAAAATCTTCATTAGCTGTGAGGCTACTGACTGTTTCCTTAAGAGCAATATAAGGCAAACATTCTAAAAGGTGTTGATTTTCATTGACAAATAATGATAACTCGTCAAGACGTGAATAATTTTGAACAATCTTGAGTAATTTCGGCTCAATATGTCGGTTACTATTATGAAAAGAGCCTGTAAAAAAAATATAATTAAATATTAAAAAATTATAAAAATATCGAAACATTTTAATTGGAAATTTATTACCTAATAGACCATTCATTCATTTGAAACTATAGCACCAGAATGAGTATAACAGCCCATAATCGAGCGCACATTTACAAATATGTAAACATAAATGTAAATTCGGTGTTATTTTTTCTGGGCCATAACTCTTTTCAACAATCTTTACCATCGATAAAAGACAGTTATGTGCCTCATTTAATGCCAATTTGGAAATAATTCGGCATATAAGGATATTGCATGCATTTACAAAATAACTCAATATTTCCCTGTCATCTTTTTGAAGAAAATCCCAAGTAATCGTAGTAGCATATACAAGGATGAAAGTTCTCCATTGGTCTGCGGTAAATCCTGAAAAGCCTTCACCCATTGCTATTTTATTCAGTATCCTTCCAATATCTGATGGTAATTTAACTTGTTAGTCCATTCTTGCATTGTTTCTAGATTTTTTGACAATAATTGACCCTCTTCAATCCACAAATGAGTTATGATCCATTTGGCAATACCCAAAACAAACAGTGCATAGGATCGACTACAAAGAATTGCATTAGGTTAAAATACGGGAGCTGATATACTTCCGACCAACGTACTAAAGTTTGAGAAACATGCTTTTTTTGTGTGTCTTTGGTATTGCAATCCTTCCATAAAAAGGCATTGTTTTTTATTTCTTCAATATCTCACGGCACAAACCATTGTCTATATTGTCAAAGTCACCAAAGTTTGGTTGATTTCTAATATCAAAATCGGCTACCTTTTTATACCGATGGCATGCAACACAAGCCGATATATTCCTGCAAAACTTTCTAGCAGCCGGTATATCACATGCGTAACATATAATCGCTGCTCGTATAAATTTTCCAGTAGGGTTTTCATATGTGCAAAGTTCTATTCCTTCCCATAACTTAATGAATTGATCAATCACAGGAGCCAAATAATGGTTTAATTGATGCAATTTCGGTTCATTTGGGCTGAGAATTATTGCTAAAGTAATAATATTACTTGGTTCAAACCTTTGGCTTCGTGGTAGATTACATATTACTCTATATATCACTTCTACACTGTATTGAAAATTGTCGTATGGTTGGAACCAATCAAGGTTCAACATAATTCCTAGATGACTATCTGCTACTTCATGTCAGAAAAACAATTGATTATTATTTGAATCTTTAAAAGTTTTCCAAATTCTTCCATCATATATATCTGATAACTCCTGACAAATATCGGGTCTAGTTGTTCACATTCTACAGGATTTTTCAAATTCTTTCGATTTGTACAATTGATGTAACTGATTTTTTATATTAGCAACAGGAAAAATGAGTAAAGGCCGGTATATTATTGTTTTTTGTGTAAGAACTTGCTTTGTAATAATATTATTACATGGGGATCTCAACTTAGTCATCGGATGATTCAGGAAGTCCTTGAATGTACAATAGTATGGTTTATCGGTTGTCAAATCTTTTACCGCGTATATTTTACAGCATTTTTTACAAGTTGCGTACTTAATCATGTGATCGCTGATACCAAATAATTTCCGTACTATATGTAAAGATTTTGGAAATTCTGAATAGATATTTCTATCAACCAAGAGCAATAGATATCTCATAAACTTTATAAGAGAATTAGTAGCAGTATCAGATAGCCAATATCTCTCTTGATATTTAAAAATCCAATACACAATCTACGCAAATCTCTGATCGATGTTTGTAAATGGTATTTCTGCACCTTTATTTTTATAACCAGATTCTGGCGCATCAAAATTGACTGGTTCGACGTTATTTTCATCATTATCACTATATTCTTCTTCTTTACTACCCTCATCAATATTATATTCGTTAATATCAGATTCGTTAACATCATGATCATCATCAAGAAGCTGTTCAATTACAGCCGTTAGGAAACTAATATGACCACCTAATTGTTTTTGCTTTCCTTTAGATGATTTTGAGCTTATAATAAAAAAATTAAATTCTTGATCACTGGCAGGATCATCGGATAATTTTGGGCCCATAACAAGAAAATTAAATTCTTGGCTGATAAGATCATCATTTACAATATCTACGTCTGTATTCATATGATCGCTTAAAATATCTTCTGTCATTCCAGAAGGTGATGCTATCCTGGAAGATTCAACAAATTCTCTTGATCCAAATTCCTTTTCTTTTGTATGTAATTTTCTTGTACGTGGATCAACTTTACGACATTTACATATATTACAATGGCACGGCACATGTTTTCTTGTATTACTTATACTTCCTATTTTAGTATATTTACGATGTTTCAAAAAACCTTCTCAGTATGCGAATGCAGTCTTATTTGCTTTTACAAAAGATTTTTTTTTGATTTGCGCGTCATAATAAAGATATCGTGTTGAAAAAGAAAGATTTAATAAGAAATTTTTTAAAAAAATCCAGATACATTATATATTAAAGTATAAAATCAATGTAATAAAGTTTAACGTTAAAAGTATAATAATATATATTGTTTGAAAAAATCCCTCATAAAATCTTAAAATCAATATAATAAAGTTTAACGTTTAGTGATTGTTCGAAAGCGCTGCATCCCTGATTGTCAATCACCTGAATCTGGTTTAACCGCTAACATCTTATAGAATTCCATAAGTGGCTAATTATTTTACGGCTAACTACTCGATATTACGTAATTTAAGCAATAGTAATTATTAATTGATACAATAAACGATATAATAATAATTATTAACGATATTATATAAGTATAGAAAGTATATATAAAGGATCTATATAGGCCTATAAAATTTAAATTTCTCTCTATATGTTTATTGTTTCTTTTCACGATAGACTTATTTACAACTTTGAAAATTTATTTTTACATATAATTTTGAAGAAGAAACGATGGCAATTATAAAGCAAAAAAAAATATTAATAACTTAATTATAACTGATACTTAAAATGTTGGACCCGGTTTAATTTAAATATATGATACTTAAAATACTGACCATTAAAGATGAAATCAATCAATGTCATTAATCACAACTAATTTTAATATTGAACGCAGTAATTATTTCAATTTGGTGCAGAAATATTAGATCATGATTAAGTTTACAAATTAAAGAAAGGTAAAAGATCGCGTAAGACTGATTTTTTTTTAATATAAAAGAATGACTTTTTCCTGATTGATTTTAATTCTAATTATTTTTTTTTCTTTCATTTCTAGATTTTAATTCTAATTCACTTATTCTTTTTTATCAATACTTTACCTTTTCAATACTATGCGTAGTCGAAAACCCTTTAGAATCGCTTTAACTTCTAGAAGACGTTCAAGGTCTCGTAAGCATAATGATCATCAAAGTTATCATGAAAGTAACAAAAGAAGCACTAGGTAAAGCACATCCAAAAAAAGGTTGAAAGAACTACTAGTGGAAGTCGAAATCCCAGAAATGACATACGTAAAAAAAGTCTAAGTATCTGAAATAAAAGTTACGAACGTTATAGCAGAAGTTTTAGAGACGTACCCGTAAACAATAGAGAAAGAAGCAATAGAAACGAAAGAAATTCAAGTAAAAGTTTGAGTGATAGTATTGACATAACTCTGGCAACAAAAACTCCCGAAAGAAGCAACAGAAATGTAAGAAGTATCGAAAGAAGTTCAAGTAAAAGTTTGAGTGATAGTATTGACATAAATCCGGCAACAAAAACTCTCGAAAGTAGCAACAGAAATGTAAGAAGTATCGAAAGAAATTCAGGTAAAAGTTCAAGTGATAGTATTAACATAACTTCGGCAACAAAAACTCCCGAAAGAAGCAACAGAAATGTAAGAAGTATCAAAAGAAGTTCAGGTAAGAATCTGAATGAGAGTATTAACATAAGTATGACAGCAAAAACTCTCAAAAGAGATAACAGAAATGTAAGAAGTATCAAAAGAAGTTCAAGTAAAAGTTCGAGTGATAGTATTGACATAAATCTGGCAATAAAAACTCCCAAAAGAAGCAACAGAAATGTAAGAAGTATCAAAAGAAGTTCAGGAAAAAGTTCGAGTGATAGTATTGACATAACTCCGGCAAAAAAAACTTCCAAAAGAAGCAACAGAATTGTAAGAAGTATCGAAAGAAGTTCAGGTAAGAATCTGAATGAGAGTATTAATATAACTATGATAGCAAAAACTCTCGAAAGAGATAACAGTAACGTAAGAAGTATCGAAAGAAGTCCTAATAAGAGTACTAGACAAGATTTAGAAAGAAATGGTAATCAATTAATCGAATATATTAAACAATAAAATCAAATTCTATTTTTATTTTTATTAATTAATTATTTTACAATAGTGATTAGTTCAATCCAATCGACATTAAATTACTTGATTGAAGAAGTCCAAGATCTAAAAAGGCAACGATCGGAAGTTCGAAAATATTCTCTAGAATCATGTAGAGAGCACTCTCTGGAATCATATGAAGAATACTCTCCAGAACCACATGGAAGATATCTAAAATTACGTAAAGTGCTCAAGGATATGACTGATGAACAATATAAGTCTTTTAGGTATATGATAAGTAATTTTGATCTGGATTTAAATAAGCTAGAACTAATGATTTTTTACCATTAATAATTTTATAAATTTAGGATGAAGTTGTTCAAATCCTCTTTGGTCTTGACAACTCATTGTTACTCGACTATATGAAGCCATAGAATGAAATTTCACGTCATGTCTATAAGGACATAATGCCAGCTATCGATAGGATAATAAACTAAAGAATCAGGTATAATCAGGTTGAACTTAAATATGTCTTACAACAATTACATCGATACAGAAGAGAATCCTGGCAGATTTCTCAAAGTGTCAATAGGTTGAAATTTGATAAAAAATGAAAAGGCACAAATTCGAGACGTTCTGATGTAAGTATCAATGGATATATCAGATTATTGATAGATCTTTATATTTATTATTACTGCTTTAATTATTTTAATTTCTTTAAGAAAAAAGAAAGATGAAAGCGTGAAATCGAGCATATATAACACTAATGATCCGATTCTATCGGAAATACTTCCTAGGTCTGTACACGAAAATCAGTATAAAAAAGATATTGAGAAAATAGTCGATGAAGGGCTATTCCATTCATATGAAATATCCGATACAGATAACGAAAAGGCACAGGAGAAGATTGCCCAACATATTCGTCTAAAAAATAAAAAATGAATCAGATATGCATGTGATCCATGTGTACGATAAGCCGTGGAGATCTCAAAAGGTATACAACATATATTTTGGATATTTATTTATTTTTATTTATAGCACTTTGTTTGTTGTATTATAGGTTAAAAAACTTCTTCGACATGCAGATAAAGTTGGTGAAAATATACAACGTATAAAAGTTTAAAGAAAACGATAGTATGACAATAATGCATTTAAAGACGATACAAGACTACCACCTAAAGTTCCCAGATAGACAATATCATCTTTAGTTGGGAGAGAGGAGCAAGGGAAGGAAGTGGCAGCCGAAAGTTATAAATGATTAGATAGAATTTTAATTAGTGTATAATAAATAAATATATTTAATATGCAGAATAAATATGTATGATATGTGACATATAATGCGAATAAATTTGATATTACAATAAAATATAATAATAATATATAAAATATATTATAAATTCCATAACGAATATTGTGTAAAATATTTAAACATCAATTTATTAATCATAAATATATTATTAAGGCATTGGAGTACTGACAATATTTTTTTCATCATCATCGGATTCATTGACTTGTTTAATAGGAATAATAATGCCTGTTTCATTTGGGCCCTTTGAGTTATTGTAGTGTCAAATTACGATATGCTATGTGTCTTCGGCGTGAATGGAACATCCGGCGCCCTAATGTTTCTACTATCCGTAGTTTGGAAATTGAACCCTCCTTGAGAGGTAGTAACGACGCCGTCCTGACGAGTATAAAGATTCCAGCTACAAAGTTGCCTGGAGATTTCCGCAACAACAGCTTCCATATGATAACTGCTTGTGGCATTGGAATTATCTTTCCGTCTTCGTCAAGTTCAAAAGGTTGAAAGGTTTTCCGTCAATTTTCAAAGTACGGTTTTTTAGCTGGTTGCTGATTTTTTCGAATTATTCAGAGTATACATGCGGTCGTGGTCTAAATTATCAATATCTATTTGTTGGTTATAGGCTTTAAAGGTTTTAGAAGTTTAGAAATGTTGACAATGTACATGTACGATGAAAACAATTTGAAAATCTATAATCTGCTGGTATTTTATTACGAATCACGTAAGCAGATATTATAAGAGTAAGTTAGCACCCTTAAGTCGACAAAGTTGATTATAAGAAGAACAATGATAATAAAAAAGGTAAGAAGTGGCCTTAGATTATTTTACTCTAATAAAGTCAACTTACTACAAGCCCAGCAACTTTAACTATGAGTGCGATCCAAGCAACGAGTGGAACAATTGTAATTCAGATAAATATATACGCAAATCAACGAACAAAAAGCATTTTTGTGAGAAGGAGTGATCGTTAGAAATGTTGCACAATTTATATCTAAATGATTTTTTCTGTTTGTAATAGGTTATCTGACATTATGATGTATTACTACTTAATGATTTCATTTCATCACGTTTATTTAGTAATTTTTGTGATTTCCATAAAATTTTCAAATAAATTTTTATTTTGTTTAAATTTATGGCTTAAATCATCATCTTAACATATTGATAATAATAAAAAATATTATAAAATTTGAATCGGGCGTCGTGAATATAAATTTTAGGATATTATTTAAAGCTAGTTGTATTTTTTATTTATTTACTGTAGATCCAAAAATAAGATTTAGTTCGTTGATCATAAAATCCAAATTTAGTATTAAACATAATAATTAACAAATTTTCATTCTGGATTATGGTCTGTTAATTAGTAAATGACGTCATTCTTTTATTATTTACGAATGACGTAACTGATGATCGTCGATGAGTTTTCATTGGCCAATTTTTGTTTTTTGGAAAATAAATAGAGGATCTCGCAACTTCCTTTTATCTTTATTCCAACTTTTTCTTTGTGGGTATTGTTTTCACTTTTTTTAAAGAATATTTTTACAGGAAGTAAACCAAAAAATATCTTATATAATATTATTTCAAGGAATCTTTTAAATGATGACTCAAAGAACTCGACAGGTTCGCGTTCGAGGTGTCACTCGTTCTGTTGTCACGCCAAGGCGACGAAATGTTTCTTCAACTTCCCTTTCTTCTATCCCATCTTCTTCTGCCCTTTTAACAGCTGCACCTTCTTCTTTTTCCCCTTCTTCTGCAGCTGCTTCTCCTTCTTCCTCTTCTAATTATTCTTCCTCTTCTTCTTCTCCCTCCTTAGCTTATTACCCTCACTCACCCACATTTCCCGTTTCAACTTCCCCAACTTCTTCTACTTCCCCTAACTCCCATACTTCTTCGATTTCCTCCACTTATCCTAATTTTTCTCCTTCTCCTTTCCCTTCTCCCATTCCCGCACCTTCTGTTCCTTCCGCCCTTCCTAATACCACAACATATCGTTCTCCTCCTTCCCCTCCTTCCCCCTCTTCCTTAAGTTCTTCCCCTTATTCATCCCCTTCTAATTCCTCCGTTTCTTCTTCTTCCTCCAATTCTTCTACTCCCTCTTTTACCCTTCCCATATTTAGCCGTCCCTTTATTCACTTTCGTCTTCTTAGGTGGCCGGAGCCTATGGATCTTGATCCACCAGGCATTTTTATCGAAACCCCTTATATCCCCCCTAATCAGTGGCCCGAACCAATGGATCTTGATCCTCCTGGTATCTACGTAGCCATTGATTATGGTTTTTACCCTTTTCCTCTCCGTTTTTAACTGGCCACCTCTCCTTCTTTTTTTTGCGTCTTGGCTGGCAAATTTAAAAAATTAAAAAAATATAATAAATTTAAAAAAAAATTAAAAAAATAAAACAAAACAAAAAAAAAATCCCTTTATAATACATTTTCACTAGGGTGTTTATCTTTTGATAAGCATGACTACGATACAAAGGTATCGTATCTTTTATATGAAGTTGGCTGTTTCCTCTTTCCTTTTTGCAATTAAAATATTCCCCCCTTGGCCACTTCATCCGCATTTTTTTTTTAGTTTAGAATTAATTTTTATTTATTTTATTTATATATTATTTATGCTTTCTTTATGTATTTCGATGATGTCTTGAGGTGAATTTTTTATTTTATTTTATTTTATTTTATTTTTTTAAATTTATACCTCATTATATTTCGTCTTCACTTTTTTTTTCACCTCAAATGAGCTATCACATTTGATATGTGGTGGTTCAAATTTTCTTAACCTGAACGAAGCTTGCCACCTCTACGCGGTGTTCAGGAGAAACGGCTATAGTTTAAACTATATCTGGCAAAGCGCAAGTTTTATGTCCTTTTAAAGTGGCAATTGCATATTAATATTTGTAAATTCTAAATAAAATCTTGTAAATTTTATGAAGAATGTTAATAAAGTAGCTTCTTTTAATATTATTACACAATCAAGTAAATATTTACGATCTAATTGTAAATTAATTTGATGTGCAAGAGTAAAACGTAAAATTTTTTTTTAAAAAAAAAAAAATTACTTACAAATGCATTTTCTTTGTCGCACTAATAATCTATTCACAGCCAGCAATAAAATAATACATTATAAAATCAACTCATTTAACATTTTTCACATCACATTACAAAGAAATGATCCTGATAAGATGTTTGATTATGATTTTTTTAAATAAAGGATAAAACCACGTGTTGAACCGCATCTTATAACATTGATGGAAATTAATTAATATTCTTAATTATTTAAGGCCTTTATTCTGAATTTTCTAACTTAGTAATCAATGCTTCAAACTTCATGTCCAGAGAGTTGTACCCTTTTCCATCTCCTACTTATTAAAATTACTAGTAGTAATAATCTTACAACCGAAATCGGAACCTTATTTAGTGATTGGTGTGTAATTGATTTCACAATGATTATCCATTCTTTAGGACACAATAAGATAAAAAAAAAAAAATTTAAAAACAACATGATTTGTAATGATCAAAATAAAAAGCAAAAGAACCTTAAAATGATAAAATCATTCTATCACTGCGTCTGAAGCTAATAAAGAACTCAAAGTAAAAGAAAAAATTAAATTAAAAAATGAAACTAAAACACATACCGCGAACTTCCAAAACGGTCGAATAAATCGGAAGTTCTTCATCAAATGCAACCTCTGCGACCTAAAGCAACGGAATATACAACACCTTGGTTTTTGGAGTTCGTGGTGGATCGTTTTTATTTGAAACCCTAAAAGTAGGAAAATAAAATAAATATAAAATCAACAAAAAAAAATTCCAACATTAGGCCGGGCAAATAGATTTTTTGGATACTTTTAACCGCAGTATCAAAAATTTTTTTATAATAATAGTGTAATTATTTTTTCTGACTCATTTTAACGTATTAGAATTACCTGTATAATCAATAAATCATAAAATAAATTTTTTTGATGACTTAAATTATTTTAATTTTTACAAATAAATTTTTTGACAAACAAATTTTTTTATCCATAATAATTTAGATTCTACTTTTTTGAATCGATTTCCAATTCCTAGATTAACAAGAAATGCTTTATAATTGAATGACTGAAATAAAAGTTCATTTATATAATAAAAAGAAATTTTTACCATGATTTTAATTTTTTTTATTGGATTATTATTCGAGTAAAAAAAAAATCTTGATAAAAGTTGTTGAATTAAAAAAATTGTAATATAATTTCTATCTTCCTTTGATAATTGACTCTTTATTTTGCGTAAAATATCTTTACGTTATATCTGATATAATTGAAGAAAATTTAGTTTCTGCGTGAGAATGAAACTCGCAGACATATTTTTTTATTCGGTACTCACATTTAAAATTCAAGAAAACAGACCAGCTTTATAATAAGGTTCACGGTATATGTTTGTGAATCCATATGTGATGTCAAATACCCTATAGACAATTTGTATACACACCTACAAGTGACACGCTCGAGTTCTATATACCGTAAATAAATGGTTGAAGTAATAAAGTCAAATTTCAAAATAGTTTCATAAATTGACGAGAAAAATAAGTATTATACGGATGTACTTAGAATTTTAAATGAGCGAATCAGTCGTCACGCAGGGGACGTAAAAAAATCTTTATAAAAAAAATTCTTTTAAATTTCAAGTATCTTTCTAACATGAAGCGAGACTTATTAATTCCATTCTCTTTCTTGCTTCATTTCAGCTCCATTATAAAATATATACTCTGTTAAACATTACGTTGAACTGATAAACAAGTATATTATCGGCTTTCCATTTTCTGCTCCGTCCACCCAACAAAACATTATTATAATTCATGAAGTACGCTAATACCTTTCCTAGTCCTTACAACATCTAATGTTTTGTGTCAAAACCACTATATTAATTTTCGTTTCAACGTTCCTTTCCAAGTACATATCTTGAATGGTTGATTTTCCTTTCATTGATCTCAAATTATTCTTTCTGCTAGTTCGTGGTTTGGCCTTCCATTATTGGCTCTATTGAAAATGGATGAATAATTAAACTGAACTGATTGTGAGTAATAGAAGCAAAGTAGTAGTCATCGTGTGCCTAAATACCAATCAAAGTTTTTTTTACAACGATCGTTCTTCATAAAGAAGATCAGCAATCCAAGCAAACCGAGGGAGGTCTCAGTTACTGTTGTTATGAAATAAAAGTATAATCACCATGCTCACTTCATTATGTAGAACAACAAATATAGTGACAGCAACTGATGAATAATTTTTTACTTCGACTGTTAAAGAAAGACATAACCCGATCCCTTCAACGGAATCAGTCCCACAGTCACAATCTACTCAGTAAAACCTAAACAGCTTACCTGGTAAATTCGTCGTCGAAAGTGTTGAAAGATAAAAATAAAAAAGTATAGTTCATATTTTTCTATATAAATAGGAAGACACAAGAAAATTCTAAAAGAAATATTTCACGAAAATATTTTTAAAAAAAAATGATGGGCTTGGTTCACGGAATCTTTCACTTTCAAAGTTTGTTACGAAATTTATATGTTATGATAATGTTGATTTATTTTTCAGTTACATTTTTCAATCATAAAAATTAGCTCAAAATAATATAATCAACTTCTAATTTTTAAAAAATAA